TCTCTCTCTCTCTCTCTCTCTCTCTCTCTCTCTCTCTCTCTCAATCCGGTTGGTTGGTTCGGCCGAGCATATGGTCGCTCTCTCTCTCTCTCTCTCTCTCTCTCTCTCTCTCTCTGTCTCTGTGTGTGTGTGTGTGTCCTGCCTGTCCAAACGAATGAATGAATGATTGGAAAATTGGCCACGATGCTCGGTTACTTGCAGCAGTGTTCATCTGTTGGCTCTCATCTTCTCTCTGAGCCCTGCTCTTTTGGATGTAAACCGCTGCCCTTCCTGTGCCACGATCAGGGACAACCAGTCTGTGAGTGGGATGTATGCTGTCGGTTTGTCAGGTTCTGCTTTGTAAATGTTATAGCTTCATTTCTCCCATATTCCTTGTTTCTTCCTTCACACAACTGGACTGCGATTCCTTGGGCCGCGTATTGCTCCGCACTGGCCATGGACCCTTTGGCTCCAAGTATGGACATGCTGATAGGTACACATCCAACAAGGCTTCGCGTCCGTGGCGCGCGCCGAGGAGGACGTGGCGCGCTCCGAGGAGGATTACCAAGTCCGACACTCTTCAGTTGAGGGTGTCCACCTTGGATTCTGAGCCGTGCCGAACCACGGAGGGCAGCATTGTAGGTGATGCACGGTGAAGTATCGTGGTCCCGTGTGCTCTTGAGAAACTTTTTGCCTGTGGTTGGAAGCAGCATGAACAAGCCTTCCCCATTGTTCGAATAAAATGCGGTCTTTCGGCCGTTTTTGCGCACTTAAGAGTAGGACGATTTCTTGCAGCTTCCTCCTTTCCCGTTCCTCGTCGTCTTTCGTCATTTGCCCTTGTCCCCCCCGTTGATTCCATTCCACGTCACCAGACACAAGGAGACCCCGGTTCCGACCTGAGACTCCAACCCCAGTATCAAAAAATCCTTGGCACAGCCCTATTTCGCGACCTTTCTGGGCCTACTCACACTCCAATCAGAAGGTCATGCCAGGGGTGAGGTTGCACGGCGCAGGGGAAGCAAACGGTCCTCAACCGGGCAAAAGTATATGCACTTGTTGATATGTGCAGCTCAGGACAAGGGGAGCAAGGTTCAAACAAAGCGTAGAACTACATACAAAGTGCTCTTGTTGTGGAAAACAGAATGAAGTTCGCAACACCGGAAAATATGGAAGCCAAAAAGAGAACTCTGATCATTCAGTTGTCAAAAGCAAGCATTTTCCCACACATCTAGACTACATACAGAGAATGGATGTAAAATTTGTAAATGTGTGGGGAATTTGCCTTGCTGCTTTTTTGGCTTTGCTTCCTTTTTGCTCGCCGCTGTTTAGTTGGCTGCTGTTGCTTGCCTTTAGTTTCCTTTGCCTGACGGTCTTCCAGGGCATGACAATGTGTGCGTGTTCGTTTCGTGGGACGTTCTCGGCTGCGGGCTCATTCTCAAGTGTTGTTGTGTATAACCATACCTTTCGACGCAACATGCGTCCCCACAAACACACGCAGGACTTGGGTGTCATTTGACTGTTTTTGACATGAGCTGCCGGGGCAACGAAACTGCAAAGTGTCGAAGCGAATTTACACAGAACGACTGCACGAGCGAGCGCACTGGAGCAGAGTAGCAGCAGAGCGAAGTGCAAAGCAGTGCTGCAGCAGAGGCAAAACTGCTGCACGTCACACAAGCAAACTGTACGGGAAGGCACAAGGCACACAGACGGACAGCAAGTCAATATCGCAGCAAAGCACAAGGCGACACCAGGAAATCAGCCAAACTACATGGTAGTGAACACACCAGCTGCAAGGAAGGACACGGAAAAAAGCAGCAGGATGGGCAGCAGGGCAGTGGAGCGCACAGACAAGGCGATCTGCGCATCCAACACGGACCGAAGTAGTCCATCACTTATATACACCATAAGTAGAACCCCGCAGACTGTTGGTTCCGACCAGCGGCTGAGCAAGGAAGCCAGTCTGACCGACATCGACCATCATCACCCATAACCATATGCATCACAGACATCGCAGACACAGGCCCCCCCCCCCCCCCCCCCCCCCCCCCCCCCCCCCCCCCCCCCTCATAGTCCTTCAGACACTGCAAACCAGCAGTGGAGGAGCGCAAAAAGACAAGGTGATCTGCGCATCCAACACGGACCGAAGTAGTTTATGACACTCGGGGCGAATTTGTTGTCACAGCTGTGTGTGGTGGGGGGGGTCTGTGCAACGGACAGAGCTCTGTCTTGGGGCTGTCAATGGGGCCTTCTGGAATCTGAATCCATCAGATGTTCAATCACCACTACGCTGCCCTCCTATGCCCTGCGGGCTCACCCACGGTTCCACGGGGCAAAGGAAAGCTTCGAACCACCTGACGAAATTGGCTGCTTGGTGCTCGGTAGGCCTTGTTCCCCCTCCTATGGTTCAGAATGTGAGGGCGGGGGAAAAAAATGCGGGTTGGGGAAAAAAATACATTTGGAGGCACTGATGGTTTAATGGGGTCTTGCGAATCGATTGGG